GGGAGGTTCTTAATAAGGATGGAGGAAGGGCTCTGAAGGAATTAACACTTCAGTCCCTCAGGGGACAGTCTCCAACTTGCCAAACTCACTCAAAACTGGCCTCCTAGATCGACCTGACTACCAAAGCAATCATGGGAGCTATGACCTCAATTTTATCTACACCTGTCTATACTGACTGCCTGTCTAATTCTGGCTTCACCTGCAGGAAATCTGAGCCAAGCTGGGCCTGGAGGATGGGTCTCATGTAGGCAGGCAGAGAATAGTGAGGGCCTGCCAGGCATGGGGCGTGGCAGACAAAATGTCTCAGCACACAGTAGGCCAGGGGGAAGGGGACAGCACAGACCTAGGAGTCCAGGTGTCTGATTTTCTCCTTCCGGGACTGTGACCGAAGGTTTGCTGAGTCTCTGAACCTCAGTTTCCTCATTGGATAAACAGGGATACCATTCTCTGCACTGTGAAAAGTGACTGAGGTCATAGCTCCCATGACAACACACTGTGAAACCTAAATTGCTAAGCGAATGTTGGAAAATCATGTGTTTTTTTGTTTTTTGTTTTTAATATTTATTTTTTAGGTGTAGATGGACACAACACAATGCCTTTTATTTTTATGTGGTGCTAAGGATCGAACCCGGGTCCTGCCCGTGCTAGGCGAGCGCTCTACCGCTGAGCCACAATCCCAGCCCTGTTATTTTTTTTTAAATATGTATTTTTTAGTTGTAGATGGGCAAAATATCTCTATTTGATTTTATTTATGTGGTGCTAAAGATCAAACCCAGTGCCTCACATGTGCTAGGTGAGCACTCCACCATGGAGCCACAACCCCAGCCCTTTATGTTATTATTATTAATAGTTATTTCGGGAAGCTCAAGACCAGATTGGTGTTGGGGAGCTTTGAAAGGAGATCTGGGGAAATCAAACTTTCCTCCAACTGCTGATGGACGTCCCGAGAAGCTGTAAGCTGGAGTTGGGTAGAAGACACACTTATGGGTGCACTGTCTAGAGCAGGAGCCTGGGCTCTCTACAGCTGTCTCTCGCCCAGCTGTAGAGTTCAGGGACTAACCTCAGTATCCCCTCTACTGACTGCTCCTACCAACTGCTGCAGCTTGAACACCATGATTGAAACTAGGTACCCTCTTGTCATCATGGCCCTTGAGGGTGCATTGTGAACATATGGCTTTATTTGTGAGGAGTCTGAGCTGACATCTGCCTTTCCTAAGTCATGAGGGTTTCAGATATTTGGACTGTGCCCAGGAATGGTCCTTTCAATTCCTGAAAGGGCTGTCCTATGGCAGGACTGGGGCCACCTGTGGTGGGAAGGGACTGAGGACCCCTGGCAGGGACTGTCAGAAGTTGAAACATTGCTTTCTCTTCTCACACACACCAGCAGGAATTCTATACCATACCCAGCTTATCTTGATCTGTATTTGAAATTAAAAGTGCCAGCCAGATATGGCAGCCATTGGGATGGCTGGTGCCTACCTTGAATTCTGTTGTCCCTGATCCTAGATCTTGTCCTACTTCTCTAAAACCCACTCCTCATATGCCTGAAGGAGGTCTTATCCCTTTGCCCCCAGCTGCTTGGGCTGGCCCCTGTTGCTCACTTGTGGAGGCCTGGCCTGGACACAGCCATAGTAAAAGACAGGACAAGAACAGAAAAGGCCCCTGGATCTGGGAGCAAGAAGACTGCAGGCACTAGGAATAGACAGCTGCACCTCAGGGCCAGGGTGAGGGTTCAGGCTTGGAGGCAGCCATGTTGGCATGGGTGCTGGGGTGGTTGAGGGTCTTCAGCCCATCTTTCCTCTAGCTCACCACCTGCAATAGCACCTAGAGGCTGTCAGCTTGACAGGACAGTGGACTTCTGAACCCTGCAAAGAGCACTGTGGGCGCAGGGAATGAGGGATGATGCCTCATATATGCATCTATGAGAGGGTCCCCATTCCCTTACCTCTCCTCTCTTCACAAGCTACCCTCCCACTAGTTTATCTTATACTTCTGGGTTACTGCCTGGGCTCGTCTCTCACCAGAAATGTCTGCTCACCCCATGTCTTTGCCTGAACATGTTTTCATGTTCATCCTTCAGATGTGGCTTGGGTAGGAAGTCCTCCCAGTTGCCTGCATCTGAGCAAGATGCCTTTTCTTGATTCTCCTCCTTGTCTCTCCGCTCTCCCCCATCAGAGAGCTTATCACACACTACTTGTTGTTGGCCTTTCTGTCTTTTTTGGTAGACCAGAAGTTCTCTAAAGTTCATCAGTGTAATCCATGGCCTCATATGATACCTGGAGTAAGTGTTCAATAAATATCTGCAACATGGATGGATGGCTGGAGAGAGAGAGAGAGAGAGAGAGAGAGAGAGAGAGAGAGAGAGAGAGAGAGCAATGAGTGCACTTGTGAGCACAGGGGACAAGATGCAGCCCAAAGCCACGCCCACAGTGACCTCTCTCCTTCAGCCACATCTCACCAGCCTGCATTTACCACCCAGTTTGAATTATTATCTAGGAAATGGATTCACCCACTGATGAGGTTACAGCTTTCATAATCTAGTTATCTTACCTCTGAACATTCCTGCAGTGCCTAATACGTAAACTGTTTAGGGGACATTAAAGATCCAAACCATAACAACAGATTTGTGTTTGTGAGTATGTATACAGGAGCGTGTGAGTGTATGTAGATGTGCAAGTGCAGTTGTGAGTCTGTGTGTGACTGTTCAGATGAGTATGTGAGTGCTGCAAGTTAGATACACACACGGTGTGGCGTAGGTGGAATGGTTTGTGTGATGTGAGAACTTACGTAGGATATTGGTGGGAGGTGACTAGGCACATGGATGCTTGTATTTGTGTGTGTGTGTGTGTGTGTGTGTGTGAGAGAGAGAGAGAGAGAGAGAGAGAGAGAAGCTTTCTCTTGCCCACCTCAGGGTCACATTCTGGGAGACTGTATTTTTGGCTTCTGAAGCTTATTTTTTCCAAAAATGACTCTGTCTCCTCACTTCCTCCCAGCCCGGAAGCTGGAGCCGGAGGTCATGAGGCCAAACGGTTACCAGCCTGGGCTATGCCACCAAGAAACTGTCTACCAGGAGGAAGGAGGCAGAAGGAGAGCAGGCACTGAGAGAGCTCCTCTTCAGGATCTGGAGACTGATTCTGGAGAGGTACCATGGGCCAGGTTGTGTGCTGTGGGCAGAAGGAAGAAGTACTGCATGAATGTGAGGCCTGCAGCAAGTGGCCTCTCCTGCCAGGGAGGAGTTCTGTCCTGCCAGCTGCTGAGCTGTGGACTAATGGGATACACAGCGGTTTGCTCCGGCCCTCCTTGGGCCCACCACACAGATGTGTGCAGGAACAGTGGATAACAAATAACGGCCAATGGGCAAACAATGGAGGTGAGTGGTATGGCTGGCCAAGCAGGCCCATATTTCTCGGAGTTAGTACAAGTTTTTGAGGGCAGTTGCTTATGGCCACATTCCTGGCACCTTGCACGACTCTAACCACTATTTGTTGGGTAAATGAATAAAAGAATGGATGAAATGATGAACAAGTCTATTTCTACAGCCTCAAATTCCCTCCCTCCCCATAGGTCAATCTGCCTTCTTGAAACCCAGGAGCTCCTTCCCACAATTCTCCCCATGGGTTCCATTCTCACTCAAGGCATCTCTTAGTCCTCAGTGGCCTGTGTACCTTGCAGGACCAGGCTTGGCTCAATGTGGCCCTTCCTGTGATTGGTTTTTTTTTTTTTTTTTTGAGTTCCTGGGGCATCCCTGCCTACTGGGGGTTGTCTCTACAGAATTTCTCCAGGTTCTGAATCCCACCCCACCCTAACTCCTCTGCATCCCAGCCCTTAGGAATTGCCAGTAACTCCCCTGCCTGGGCAAGTGATCTTAGAGCTCAGAGAGGCAGATTAAAATAACCAGGGCCTTCCAGCTGGTAATCTGGCTCAGATCAGGCAGCCTGGGCTGCACCAAACCTGTCCCAAGTTAGGTTTCCAAGTCATAACCACCTGAAGGCACATCACATCCAGTTGGGAGGCAAGAAGTCTCCAGGCACCTGAACTAAGTGTGGGGAGGATGTCTTAGGAGGGAAGAAGAAGAGCAGGCAGAGGGAACACGGAGCAAAGGTACCAGGGCAGGGTGAGAGGTGAGAGGATGAGAGAGAAGGCTAGAGAGGAAGATTCAGGCCTGGGGGTGCAGGCTGGGTAGTTTGAATTATAATCTGATGGTAGTAGGGAGCCATGGAAGATGTTTGAGCAGTGTGGGGTCACTGATGCTGGGAGCATCTGTGCTGGTTACGTACTGCTGAATGGATGGGAGAAGGTGAGGGGTCCAGTCCAGAGGCAGGTAGAAGGTCCAGAGGTGGCTCTTCACCAGCTTGAAGCAGAACAAAAAACACTGATAAGGAAAGACACAGAGAGGATACATGCAGCGTCCAAAGGTACTGAGGAAAGCTGCATCAGTGATGTAAGCTTGGAGGAGGGTGGTGGGATGTACAAGCCACATGCAGCGTGGTGGCACCGTGCACAGCGTAGTGGCACCGTGCAGCTCTGCACATAGTTGGTGCTCAGTGAAAGTAGGTTATACGAATGAATGGACCAATAGCCTCGCTGTCTCTATGTCGTTCCGGTTGCCCTCTCTCCTGTGTCTCTCAGCGGCATCTCTGGGCATCCCGCTCTGTGGCCCTGAAGGACCCCAACTGGCCCGGTAGGGGCAGTGCTGGCCCATGATCCCACTCCGAGCCCCTTTCCTTTTTGCCAGTGCACCCACATGGCTTCTCTCTCTCTCTCCGTCCCCCTCCCCCTCCCTGTCCTTATCTTTCCCTTCCGTCTCCATGGCGACTCACCACCTCGGCTCGCCTGCATCCCAGCCTCTGCCAGGGATTCTGAGCTGGGCTCTGTCCCTCCCTCCTCCAGAGCCCTGGTACCCGCAGCCCTGTCTCCTCCCCCTGGGGTGAGTCCAGCAGCAGCCTCCTCTTTCCGGACTGTCACATTTATTCTCCAGCTCTGACAGGGAGTCAGCTCCTCTGGGGAAACCATCCCTTGCCCCACCCTCCACCTGCCACCGCCCAGCAAGCCCTCCGGGAGAAAAGCCATCCTTGCCTCCGGTGAAGGTCTTGGTGGGCCTCTCTCTGCGTTGGACCCCCTCTCTGTTCCAGCCTCCCATGCCGAGGCCCACCTTGTCAGTCACTTCCTTTTGTCATCGGCTTGGCAAACGGGCAAGTCTTCAGTCCTAAAATCTGGGGAGATTGGGTGGGGGTGGGAAGCAGCCACCTGGGATGGGGGATGGGCCTGGGAGGGAGGGGGAGGGACATCCTGGAAACCCAGCATGAAGACAGGAGTCTGGATTCTGTCCTAATTTTTGCCCCCTTCTCTCCAAGGAGAGAAAACGGAGCTTCATGGGAAACAGCAGCAACAGTTGGTGAGTGCTGGGGCCTGCTGGGCAGGGGTTGGTGCAGTGGACCTGGCAGGTCAGCTGGAAAAGGCTGGTCCAGGAGCATGGAGCCCTGCAGCTACCGGCTGAGGCTCCCACAGGGCTATCCCTAGGGAAGGAGTGCCAGGCTGGATCTACCAGGTTGTGGAGGGAGGGCAGGGAAAAGCAGATGGGTGCTGGGGAGGCAGATGCTCAGCTCAGAGAGGGGAAGAAATCTTGTGAGAACCAGATCCATCTGCTCAGCTGCAGAATGGGCTGCTTGGGTACCAGGACCTTGCCACTCTCTCTTGACTATCCCAGCAGCAGGGGCTTGTAGAGTTTCTTACTTCTTGGGGGGCTTGCTGACCTTCTGGGGGGGGGGGTCCCTGTTGCAAAAGGTCAGCAGAGAGGGTTTTCCTGAGCTTTGGCACCAGGCACGGAGCAGACTGCTGCTCACCTATCATCCTGGAGATTATCTCCACACCCCATGAGCTTGGGACTCCTAATCTCTCCATTGGGACAATTAGGAAATTGGGACCCAGAGACGGGAAGGACCCTGCCCACAGTTGCATGGCTGGGAACTGGCAGAGCCAGGGTTCCATTCAGGTTTTTTTTTTACTCTTGGGTGTTATTTTACGACTGTTCTGCTGTTCCCAGTTTGGGGCTGCCAGAACCTAGGGTACAAGTGAGTAAGGAACAGATAGATCTTGGCCTGTCTGGGAGCAGCTCCATAAGTCCATGGAGAACCCTGAGAGAAATGGAGGTGACACAGAGAAACCTTCACCCCAAGCTGTCAGCCTGCCCCCCAAAATCTGTGCACCTGATAAAATATCCTGCTTTTGAATGTCATGTCCTGCCCCCCCCCACCCTCCCCAGGTCCCATGCACCATTTCCCAAGTTGGAGCTGGGCCTGGGGCCCCGTCCCACGGCACCCAGGGAGCTGCCCGCCTGCTCCATCTGCCTGGAGAGACTTCGTGAGCCCATCTCATTGGACTGTGGCCACGACTTTTGCATTCGGTGCTTCAGCACACACCGGGTCCCAGGCTGTGAGCCGCCCTGCTGCCCCGAGTGCAGAAAGATCTGCAAGCAGAAGAAGGGACTCCGCAGTCTGGGGGAGAAGATGAAGCTCCTGCCACAGCGACCTCTACCCCCTGTGCTGCAGGTGTGGGGACTAGGCCTCATGGGTGGGCAGGGAGTATGGAGACCTCTGGATCAGATCCAAGAGGCATGGGTGGCTTTGACCCTATTTTAGAGTATCAGGATGAAGCACCAAGTTTTAAGCACTCCAGACTTGGGGTCCCATTAAGACTGCTCAGGGAGCCTTCTCTCCCTTCCCAGGAGACCTGTGCCGTGAGGGCGGAGCCACTTCTCCTTGTACGCATCAATGCTTCTGGAGGCCTCATCCTTAGGATGGGGGCCATCAACCGCTGCCTGAAGCACCCCCTGGCCAGGGACACCCCTGTGTGCCTCCTTGCTGTCCTGGGGGAGCAGCACTCAGGGAAGTCCTCTCTCCTTGATCACTTGCTCCGAGGCTTGCCGGGCTTGGTGAGGGCAGGGCTGGCAGGCAGGAGGTGGAGGGCGGCGAGGTGGGGGGTCCCAGGTTGGCTCTGGGAGAGGAGCTGAGTCTGGAGCCTCGTCTCTGGGGACATAGAATGGACCAGCTGATGCCCCCCCTTCTCTCCCTGCAGGAGTCCAGTGAGGGCAGCTGGCCCAGAGGAGGAGAGGGTTTCTTGCAGGGATTCAGGTGGGGTGCCAATGGCCTTACCAGGGGCATATGGATGTGGAGTCACCCCTTCCTGCTGGGGAAAGAAGGGAAGAAGGTAAGAGGAGAAAGGGCAGAAAGGGGTCAGGGAGGAACGAGGGGGATGGACAAAGAGGAGGGGAATAAAGACGGAAATCTTTGGGGGTGAGGACAAGAAGACTGGGTCAGGGGAAGAACGTGAGGGAGCGAGGCCAGGCTGAAGCCTTAGCTTGTCCTCCTCAACCCCCTGTGTAGGTGGCTGTGTTCCTCGTGGACACAGGGGATGCGATGAGCTCTGAACTGAGCAGGGAAACAAGGATCAAGCTCTGCGCTCTCACCATGATGCTGAGCTCCTACCAGGTGAGAGAGGTGCTGAGATCAGGTCTCCCCACCCCCATGTGCCTTTTCCAGCTCAGCCCCCTCCAAGCTGAGGGCATCTCTCAGGCTTTGGTGTCTGTGGTCCCTGCATGTTCTGGGGTTGCCCACGGAGAGGGGCAGATGTTCCCAAAGGGCTGACAGTCCCTGAGGGCAGCGGAAGGCTGGTGGAATCAAAAAGACCTGCTGGAAGATGTGAGATATCTGGAGGCAAACCCATTCTACAGGGCCCCTGGCATCTTATTGTGCCCTTGCTTATAGATCCTGAATACCTCCCAGGAGCTGAGGGACACAGACCTGGATTACCTAGAGGTGAGGAGGCCTCCAGTATTGAAGGCGTCACCCATATTGCCCATAGAACCAGTGGCTGCACAAGAGGAAGTTAATGCCCTTTCATTCTGGTCTAGAATTTTATGACACAGGAACTAGGCCAAGAGGTTCGAGGGTAGGGGTGAAGCGCGTGATGCCTGCTTTGGAGAGAGGCAGGGGGATCTTGGATTGGGGAAGTGACAAGATTGTTTCTGATAGCAGGGCAGCCCGGGGTGGGGGTGGAGTGAGAGGACCTGAGAACAGATGGGAGCTTTCAGAGAGTCCCAACCCTGGTGTTCTCTGTGCTTATCCCAGATGTTTGTACACGTGGCCGAAGTGATGGGCAAACATTATGGGATGGTGCCAATCCAGGTAAGACACCCTTTTCTGAACTCATCAGCCCAGCCCCCCCCCCCCATGCCCAGCTTGGGTGTCAAGGGTGTATTCTCTTCTAGCATCTGGACCTCTTAGTTCGTGACTCATCCATCTCCAATAAAGCAGGGCAGGGGCACGTGGGTGATATCCTGCAGGTGAGTGGTGCAGAGGGAGGGGATTGGAAGGGGCCACTACAGGGTGGAAGGCAAAGGGGCTCCAAGGGTCCTGGAAGGGAACTCACCGTGGAATGCTCTCCTCAATCCTTCTCTCAGAGATTGTCCAGCAAATACCCCAAGGTCCAGGAGCTGCTGCTAGGGAAACGAGCCCGTTGTTACCTCCTGCCCAAGCCAGGGAGGCAGTGGGTGAACAAAGGCCAAGGAAGCCCAGGAGGTGGTGAGTGTCCCGAGGGACAGAGACCTCTCAGGGGCTCCCAAGCTTTCCCAGCTCCCAACCTCTCTCCTTGCAAACTCCCCAATCTCCTAAGCATGAGGAATTTTCTTCCTCAGATGCAGATGAGGATTTCTGTCACCTTCTTCAGCCCTACGTTTCTGATGTTCTGAGCACAGCTCCCCAGCACGCAAAGAGCCGCTGCCAGGGATACTGGAGCGAGGGGCGCACAGTGGCCAGGGGGGACAGACGCCTGCTCACGGGGCAGCAGCTAGCTCAGGAGATCAAGGTGTGAAAACCCCCTGGAGACCCCAGCTCTCTCCGCAGGCCCCTGCTCTCCCTGACCCGGCGGTGGTGGTGTCTCTGCAGAACCTCTCAGGCTGGATGGGGAGAACGGGGCCAGGTTTCAGCTCTCCGGAGGAGGTACGGAGCCCGGGGTTGGATGGGGGGGGGGCTGTGAGGGAGGACGGGCAAGGGGTGGGGGGACTCAGATGCCCTGGGAGTGGAGATGAGGAAACAGGTTGCACCCTGGCTGAGGAGGAAGGAGGGAGGCAGCCTGGGCTTTCCCGTGGACAGATGGCTGCTCAGCTGCACGACCTGAGGAAAGTGGAAGCTGCCAAGAAGGAATTTGAGGAGTATGTGAGGCAGCAGGTAAGCCCCTGGGCCTACAGGGGAAGCTGGGGGCTGGCCAGCAGGGCCCACAGAGGGGAGGGGGCACCTGGGTCTCCTGATTAGGACACCTTTTCTCCTCCCCATTGACACAGGACATAGCCACCAAGCGCATCTTTTCTGCTCTCCGGGTCCTGCCTGACACCATGCGGAACCTCCTCTCCACCCAGAAGGACGCCATCTTGGCCCGCCATGGCGTGGCCTTACTGTGCAAGGAGAGAGAGCAGACCTTGGAGGCTCTGGAGGCTGAGCTGCAAGCCAAGGCCAAGGCCTTCATGGACTCCTACACTATGCGCTTCTGTGGCCATCTGGCTGCCGTGGGGGGTGCCGTAGGGGCCGGGCTCATGGGCCTAGCAGGGGGTGTGGTAGGTGCCGGCATGGCTGCAGCTGCGTTAGCTGCAGAGGCTGGGATGGTGGCAGCCGGGGCGGCAGTGGGAGCTACAGGGGCTGCCGTGGTTGGGGGTGGTGTGGGCGCTGGGCTGGCTGCCACTGTGGGCTGCATGGAGAAGGAGGAGGATGAAAGGGTGCTCGGAGGGGACCGAGAGCCCCTTCTCCAGGAAGAGTGACCAGCCTAGGACATGTTAAAGGGCAGGAGAGATGTGAAGTGGGGGAAGAAAGTAGTGGGGGTGGGACCGATCCAGGGGTTCTGAGGGCCCCACAAGTACCATCCTGCCCCTGTTGAATGCTCAGTGTCCAGGTAGCTGGCTGAGCTGGGGACTCAGGATGGTTCCAGGAATCTGGAGGTGCTTCCTGTGGGTCAGGAGGCAGTACTTGGAGGCAGTGAATAGAGCATCGTGCCTGTGTCTGTAATGGTTGCTGATTTGCTGCCCTCCTAGTCCTAGGTAAACTTGACTCCTGTTTATTTCCTTGGACGATCCTGGATTATAGGAGGGTTGAGCAGATACCATCCTAGAAGTCTACCCCTGTCCTTTCCTAGATGGCAGAGGCCCCAGGATGACTGACCTTGATGTTCGGGAGGCAGGAGCACTAACAAGGGGCTGGGAGAGAGGAAGGGGATGCAGGACTGAGCCAAAGAGGCAGGGTATAAGAGAGAGGCCTAAACCCCTGAAGAGTCAGACTTGCTTTCAGGACTCTTCCCATAGCTGCTGCAGCTGGATTAAGGTGTCTGCCTGCCCTCTGCTCTGTGGCTGGATGTCTGTCTGTGCATCCTGAGCCACCCCTGCACCCAGCCCTCTCTGCAGGCCTCTCTTGGGCTTATGCCCTTTGTCAAGCCTATTCAGATGGAGAAGTGCCCATGTTCTTTGTGGACTGCCCTCACCACAATCGATTAAATGCCAAAGAATCACACTTCAATCGCATTCTGTGCTAATAAGTCTATGCCAGATTCTGTCAAAGTCTTGCAAAGGAAAACAAAGTGTGCAGATTCTATCCTTAAACAGACACTTTCTCCCGTGAGCTTGTGTGAGAGGCCACTTTATTCCATCTTTGCAACTCCCTCAATGTCAGGCCCCACAAGGAACATGAGAGCAGGAACTTCTCCCTGGGGGATGTAAAGTCCTACTAGGAAGACTTTTGGGCTATTAAGCTGTAACGAATGCTGAGAACATGACCCTCTATTTTATTAAAAATAAAATGTGTGTATCTGAATGTCAGCTTCCCAGTATGTTACTGAAATAAGAATTCAGATCCTGGAGCACTTCAGGGCAGAAGGAGGCAAACCAAGGAGTTCCATTATTGACACTTGCGGATGGGAAAAGGGACACTAGAATTCAACAGCAATCTAACAAGTGTCGGGGGTCCCTGCTTGGTGGTGGCAGAAGTGCTCAGAACAAAGGCCAAATGCATTGGCCACACCTTCGTTGGCTTGTCACTAGGACTTAGGGTCCTGATCTTGTCTTTCTTCTGAGTAAAAGCCCCTCAAGACCCTGCCAATACGCAGTCAGTTGCCATCTGTCTTAGCAGAAGGCCAAATAGAGGCCACAGCAGGGAAACTCTGGTTAAGACCCTGGAGGAAAGAGGAGCCCAGGACCCATTCTGTAGGGCTCAGCCAATTGAGAGTTCGCTGGCCTGATTCTCCCAACTCCAGCTCTGCATCTCAGAATGACAACAGTGGTCACTGCAACCAAACCCTACATTTTATGGATGAAAACCCAGAGCTGGGGCATCTCAGATAAGACTGTCCAGCTGGCCAATGAAACAGCAGGGGAATCCTAAAAGTCCAATCTGGTGCTATCCTCAGAAATCAAAAGACAATGCTGTGCTGTTAAGATCAGCTCTGCTGAAATTGAGATGCTCCTATTCAGATTCTTTTTCTGACTGGTCAGGCGCAGCTCTGGGAAACTGCGGAGGTGGCAGAGGTGGAAGATACGGTCTGGGACAGATGGCTTAACAGTTGAAGTTGCAGTTAACGGGCTGGGGACAAAATATATCATGCCAAGAAATCCCAAAGCTTAGATAGGGGATGAGTGGGTAAAGACAGATGAGGGTGGAATCAGGCAGGGTGGGGACAGGGTCTAGACTTTGTGTTGTGTTTGTAGAGAAAGGCTTTCTGGAAGCTTCTCTCTGAGTCCTTTCATTGTCATCTGGTGGACACATGAGCTACTAAGCCTCCCAGACTTTGGGGCTGGCAGGCTCAGGACTTGAGGGCCTCCAAGGACTCACAGAGGGAGGGTGTTGTGGTGCTAGAATTCTCCTCCCCCAGAAGCACTGGAAGGAAGTTCTGTGGTCAACTTCTTGTTCTCTGAACAGATGGGGTGAGTTGGCTCAGCCAGAGAAGCTTCTGCAGTGATATGATGAGTAATATTCATTGGTATCTTCTGTCTTATGCCTTATACCTTTCAAAGCATTTTCCCAAGTATCATCTCCCTTAAGCCTTAATCATCTCATGCAGTATGGAGAAGACAGGTTTATACAGAGGAGGACACTGAATCCCAGAGAAATGACGTGTCTCTGTTGAAACAACTAGTCAGAGATAAGCCGGGACTTGAACCCAAGACTTCTGATACTAACTCTTTTTCTCAGCAGAGCCCTCTCCCTGATTCTGACCTTGAATATGTGGCTTCTTAGGTGTGTGATTGCATTTTTCCTTTCTATAATGAAACACCCATGACTAAAGAAAAGAAGCTTTTTTTAGCTCACAGTTTTGGAGGTTCAAGGGTATGCAACAGCATTGGTGATTGGCATATCATGATGGGAGTGTGCAAGATGGGGAGCTCACATAGCAGGCAGACAGGAAGCTGGGGAGAGACTGGGGTCCCATCAGAATTACATTAGTCACCCCTCTATTTTTGTGATGCTGGGTATTGAACCCAGGGCCTCACACATGAAGTGAGCACTCTTCCACTGAGCTATACTCTCGACCTCTTTCTAAAAAAATTATTTTGAGACAGGGTCTCACTAAGTTACCCAGGCTGCCCTTGAACTTGTGATCCTCTTGCATCAGCCTACCTGGGATTACAGGAATGTGTCACTATGCCTGGCTACATCAATCCTTTCTCAAGACAGTGTCCCCAGGGTCCTATGCCTCACCTCTTAAAGGTCCCACCCCCTGATAACATCACCACACTGGGGACCAAGCCTCCAACACATGAACCTTTGGTGCCACACTTAAACCACATTTAAAAAATGGTATTGGGCTTTCATCTTTATATCTATAATTCACCAGGACTTCTATGATCGTAGTCTCCATAGTATGCTGAAACTGGGCTGGTTTCCCTTCCCTGAGCTGTTGAACTCCAAGATTCTCATGTGACAAGTTTCTGAATTAGAGATTTGGTGACTTACCTTGTAATCCTACTTCTGAGCCACCTTCATGTTGAAGATATCAGTTTCAAAAAGCAAACTAGACCAGCATCCTGAAATCCCTTGACCACACGGAGTGGGAGTCCCTATCTCCACTGACCTGCATCAAACCATGTGTTAAGCAAGAGAATATTCTCTCCATCAATGTGGAAAAGAAAGAAATAGTTCTGTTATTAAGCATGCATTTAGCCAGACCAGGATGTGTCACCCGCAGTGTGCTAATGAGATTACAAAGACAAAAGAAGTCCCCTCATTCAAGTGGCCAAGCAGATGCAGACTGTGACATTCACGTTCTCATGCAGGAGGACTTGTCCTCAGGTGAGAGGATTTCATAGAATTGTTTGCTGCACATGCTTTCGTAGTTCACCCTAAATCATCTGGTCACGGGGATGGCTTTCTGTGATAATTAACTGCCTATTTATGAAAAGAAAAATAAGACATTTTGTATTAGACAAGCAGGTAATCAAAGAACCTTCCTTGATGTTTAGACTTAGAAGAGATGGCTCCTAGTCCTTTGGAAAAAGTTCTGGGTTTTAATTCTGGCAAGAGGTTTATTTATCTCTTAAAAGTTCGTATAAATATCAAAGAAACAGAAGAACTGGTATTGTCTTTATGGCTTGCACCTCCACATGATTACCTGCTTCAACACAGTCTGCCTTCTGTAACTGAATCTATACTTGCCTGTTTTGGTTCCTCTGATGATTGTATTGAATAAGCCTTTTAAAACAGTCCCCTTAGTAAGCACACTCCATGATGGGAGATCCCAGGGGTCTCAATTCCAATCATGAAGACGAGTAGCCCCTCAGGCATTTTGTGATGCATTTAGGGCTTGAGTATTGGGATGCAATATTAGTTACATTCCCCTCAAATTATTTATGAAGATGGTCCCACAGTCATTCTGCCAACAATCAGATCATTGGACTTGTGAGTCCAGACCACGTCCATCTTGGGAATACAATATGGCGTCAATAGGCACCATTTCTGGGAGTACAGAAAGAAAAAAGAGTGTTATAAATAATTTTTTGTTTTCATAGAAAATTGTGAGTCTTAAAGTAATTGAAATCATTGCTTCTTGAATAAGTCATTCTAGGCTTTGGATAAATGTCCCCAAAAGCCCACTTTAAAGGCTTAGTCCTCAGCTTAGAGTGTTATTGGGAGGTCCTGAAACTTCTAAGAGATGGGTTCAACTGGGAGGAAGTTAGGTCGCTGGGGCTGTATACCCTTGAAGGGGATATCGGGAGACCCTCTGTTCCTCGGATTTTAATATCTCTGACCAAAATACCTGACACAAAGACCTTGGAGGAGGAAAGATTTATTTTGGCTCACAGTTTCAGAGATTTCAGCCCACAGTACAGTTTCCATTGCTGTGGTCTGCAGTGAGGCCGGACATTATGGGTGAAGGGCATGGCAGAGGACAGCTGCTCACCTCATGACAGTCAGGATGCAGAGAGAGAGAGAGAGAGGAAGCGACCAGGAAGAAGATAAACCCTTCTAGATCATGCCCCCAGTCATCTACTTCCTCCAGTGAGGTCCTGCCTTCTAGTAGTTCATTCAGTTATCATCACTGAGGTCAGCCATCATGATCCAATCACTTCCCAAAAGCCACACCTCTGAACACATGAAATTTGTGGGGGGGTGGCATTTCAGATCCAAATCACAACAGACTCCTACACCTTCCTCTGTTTCACTTCCTGGCCTCCATGAGGGGAGAAGTTTTGCCTCACTACATGCTCTGCACTGATTGTATTGCTTTACCCCAGGCCCGAAAGCAAGGAGCCAACCACCTATGAACAGAAACCTCCGAAACTGTGAGCCAAAATAAACATTAAAAAAAAAACAAA